CTATCACTGAAGTTCCTCGGGAAGAATTTATACCGGAAATTAACAAACGACCAGATTAGAGAGCGTTCATTAATATTGTGGAAATAAAGGGGAATACCTTTCACTAATATTGTAGAAATATTGAGAATTAGCTTTCACTAGCATTGTCGAAATAATCAAAATAAGCTTTCACTAATTTTATAGAAATAACGGGAATTAGCTTTCACTAGTAGACTTAGCATGTAAGTCTATAAATTAGTCTCCGGTAGCATATAGCATAGGCAATAGAATTTCATGTTTGTTTATTATGCTAAATATTAAATAGGGCTATATTTACTACATGCAATAATGAGTTCAACAATAATATTCAACCAAGAAACCTTTGGGATTTACCAAGTTATTATGTAGAAACGCTTAATATTTCTCAGTACTCTTACAGTTAGTATCCAAGCTATAACTGGATGAAAACGTACTTCTTTCAAGGATGTTTATCACAAATTATTGATTCAAAAATGTAAACAACTACATATTGTTTCAAATACCCGCAGTATTAAGTTCGAGTATAAATGGAAATCTGTTACCATATTGATAAGCGATAACAAGATAAGGCTATTACTGGAAGTTGTGTTATGGAATATTGCTTTTTCGTGCTAATCTTTAAATATACCATATTAATGGTGCAGATAAACATTATGCTTTAAACCAACATAAATATAACTCTGTATTTGATGGCAGACTTTTATTGTTATAAATGTAAAGCAAATTTATGTGAATGCGTACATATTGTATGTTTAACAACAAATAACATTATCATGGGAATTAAATAAACAACCTCTCAGTTGACTTGGAAGAAAGCCCTGAAACGATTAAGTTTATCCATGGAAAGTGATTTAGTTTGAAATTACAACCTTTATTCCCAGATTGCTATAATTTATTGCTTCGTGTATAATTATTTCGATTAATATTTTCGGGTTATATTAACAAATATGTATATCCTCAAAAGTATTTGTAAAGAATTTTTTTATTTGTGGGTAATATTTATAGTATACCCTTTTCGAAACGTTGTACATTTGCTGTTATGTTAAACTTATATTAAAGCTTTTCTTCATTACACATTCAAGCCGTCTCCAAGCATTATTAGTCTCAAAGTGGGTTCCTTGTCATCGAATAAGTATACCCCTTTGTTTAATAAGAAACAGTATAACTCTGTGATAAGTGATGAATCGAACTGTAGATTGGCTTTGATAATTATTTTAAGCCCATCTTACACAGCTTGTCTGCTGAATAATTCATAAGTATAAATTATTAACATCATATATTCTTCAAACATATTTCGATATAGGTTTACTGTGATGAGTTAAAACACTGTACATATAGAACCAAACATTACGGTTATGATAAATAAAAGATTAGATAGCACGATTTCATTATGCATGTATTTGTATCGTTTGGCGTGTTTGACTAATTTCTACATTGTAGAAACTTAACAATTCATTCATCCTTAAGACTTTGAAATGTGAGGCAATCATAAGAATTTGCAATGTACGTTGTACGAAATATTTGTTTGTAAAAGGCTCAGTAAAAATCCAGCGTTACGGTATCTCAGATTTTCACATTTCATTTTTTTAATATATATTGTATATAGGAGGCTAGGAGAAAGTCCGTAGATCAAGACAGAGAAATCGACCTTGAACTCGAAGAAGAAGAAGAGGAGAAGATGAGAGAAGCAAATGGCCTGAAACGGACAGGAAGGTAAGCTATCATTGCTTATTGTGCAGGATTTATTTTTCAACATTATTATTAATAACATTACGTTCCACAAGATAGCGTCTGCTATAACATACTAG